AAATAAGTAAAAAATAAAGATACTTATTATACATCAGCTAGACTGTCTGTAAGCAGCCTGGCATAAGTCGTCCTTTAATAGAGCTGTAAGAATAATTAATTTTTCAGTTCAGTGGTCAAACTGAAAAACTGAGGGAGGAAGGAGAGGAGGTGAGTGGGTGGGAAGAAACAAGGAGAAATGTTTGGGTCAACCTGAAGCAGCAATTTCTCATTTTCTCTCACTGAAGCGAAACAAACACATGTATTATCTGTTCCTTTGAAAAAATGGCCCTTGCTGAGTTTCTAAACAAAACCTTCCTTCTAGAAGCAAGGCCTGAAGATCCTGCATAGCTGATGGTGACACAGAACATCTTTACTTTTCTGCAATTTCTTCTTCCCCTTTCCTATTCTGGAAAAAAAAACCCCACTGAATAAATTTACCAGTAGTGTGCAAAGACCTTTATGAAACACGTAATTTACCCAAACTTGCTGCCCAGCTCCAATCTGCTTCTGCAGCAGTGTTTCTCAACGCTTCCAGAAGTAAAACCAAAGTTTGAGTCTACTGAGAACGAGTTTGGTTTTCTTAATGATCTTTTCAAGGTCGTTTTAAAAGGAACCTTCAAGCCCTTGGGAATATGTTTTTCTCAGGGTAGGGGATGTATCATGCATAAGGCCGTGGAGTATCTCAGCAGTCCTGAATTTTTCAAGCCTCTACCATGAATCGTGGTACAGACATGGTTCTACCATCCTCTTCTTTCCCTGGGCAACCTTACCTGGTGCCTGATTTAGTGGTTGGCAACACTGCCCATGGCAGGGGAGTTGGAACTAAATGATCTTTGAGGTCTCTTCCAACCCAAGCCATTCTGATTCTGACTCAATGATTCTTCTTGTAGGGGCTGCTTGTTTTCACTGTATTACAAACAAACCCAACCAAGAAGTGTGTAGAGGTGTAGAGCTGATAAATTCATAATAATGTATTTCTTTGTGGGAAATCAACGGAGATCCTAAATACCAGAGATGCATTAAAAACATGCAAGCAAAAGAGGTTGCTATAGGAAAAATCTTCGAAGGGGTATTATCCAATTAGCACTGATAGCTCTGCTAATATGGTAGCAATTAATATGTTGTTTGTGAAATAAATAGGAGAAGACCTAAATATTCTTTGGAGTTACATATGAATAATACTCTAATATCTGCTGGAATAATTATAATGAAGCTGTAAGTATTCTCTCATCAGTTGTTTACTGAAATAGCAGTCTATTTAATCAGTAGCAATGCATTCAAGGTGACTAAATATTAAATATGATTGGCAGCTTACTGCTTGGACTAAAACGATTAAGTAACATGAGAAAGAAAGTGACAGGTGACTTCAGTCCCCTCGAGGAAACATGCCCCAGCCAGGAAATGGGTTGGGACTTCTAATAATATTGGTAACAAATAAGTGCTGAAATGTTTGCTTGCAGCAGTCAGTCTGGAAAGGAATGCAAATCCTGTTATACATCTTTTTCATCTTGGTGAGGTTGCAGTGGCAGCACTCGCCAGCTCTGAGGTATCGTGCATTTTAACTATCCTACAGAGACACGTGCTGGGGAGGTGTTGGGTGGCCATGCCAGAGAAGCCCCTCCAATGCTCAGCGCTGTGCAGACATGGTCTGATGGACCAGTTACTGCATGATGTCTCGTGTTCATCCTTTCCGGAGTCTTTCCTTATTGCATACTCCATTGTTTTGGATCCATTTGGACAAAGTGATCCTATTTCTAAGCTTCACATCCAGTGAAAGCGTTTGCTATTTTGGCAAAGTCTGTGTTTCCAGGGTTCCTAAATCTATTGTGAGCTTCCACTCTGATATTCACTAGCTCCTAGTTGTATGCTAAATGTTTCTAATGGTAATCCAAACCCCAGATGAGGACAAATATTTTGTAGATGTCTGCACTAGAGTAGTGCAGTGTCACCTTCCTTTGGGCTGCATTCTGATAACCTGGTCTGATTTTTATGTGGTCCTGTGTAGAGCCAGGGGTTGGACTCGATGTTCCTTCTGGGTCTCTTCCAACGTGGGATGTTCAATGATTCTATAACCTCACCAGGGGAGTACTAAGCTCCCTGGCAGGCGACAATCAAAGCACCACTCTTCTTTACCAAACATAACCAATGCTTGTCCTGTAGCTACAAAGCTCTGAATTAAATCTAATAAATCAAGTCATCTCTTAGTATAAGAAAATGGCCGGGGTCGTGCAGGACATCCGTAACTAGTCTAAAATCTGAGTGCAACTCTTTGGTCTTCCTGTCCAATGCTGTCTTTTCTGGCTGATCCCTCCGGGTTCTCGCAAGCATCTCCCTCCTTTCTGGCACTGTGGAATAGGTGTTCAACTGTGAAACTGCTGCAGGGCATTGCTGCAGTTGTTGAGGCTGCTGCTGTCTGCTTCTCAGCCCAAGTAGCCATACTAAGAAAGTTGGGGAGCTTGGGGCAGCTACAAGGGCAACAAGGGAGACACGGTTCTCTCTCTCTGTCCCTGATGGGATCCTAAGTGTAGTATAGACATGAGTGTCAATGCCCTTTTACACAGAAAATAGAGAATGAATTCCAAACAGTACTGGAGACAGCTGACCCTTTTAGCACAATGCTTAAATATTCTAGTGCCGTGCCAAGGCAGCATGTGCAGAGTAAATATTTTAATCCCTAATTAATCACTTTGGTTAGATTGGTAAAACAGAAGTCTAATGAAAATAATTTGAAATTTCCTTCATGAATAATTGCATTGTTCGGGGGATTCTGGGAAGAGTCAACTGGCTGACCTTCCATTCTTGGGCTGCTCTATTGCTATGAGACTTAATTTGTGTCCTTCAACCCTTTTCAGTCACCGTCACGAGATTAGAAATACCTTTCATGCAGTTTAGCAGCAACTATGCAAAAGGACAGTGCAGTCAGCAGAGAGGTAAGAAATTAGCACATGCTTCCCTGCGGTGAGACACATACAGTATGGCACACAGGACAGAGGCAAAGCTTCTTTTCCACTCTCTGTCCCTTTATTGTGTCCTGAGCATGATGGATTGCGTCGTTTATTGAAGTATTCATGGCTATTTTTAATTAGAGATATGAGGTCTGCGGGTGCCAGAGCTTTGAGTATTTACAGGATTGGAAAAGAATTTGCTTGTTGATAAATCCTGGTGGCTGACACCATGATTCATCCCATGGCTCCATGGAAATTCATTTCCTCCTTCAGGTCCTGTCTTTCCGGTGTTCCGTGTCAGTCTCAGTCCAGTCTAGACAGGATGGCTTATAGGATCAGAATTACATCTGCCAGCATCAGCCTGCATTTCTCTATGAATGCTACAGTCCTCTGTGGAACAATGATTTAAGTGCAACAAGGTTTGTGTTCTCCCATCCCTGGAGGTGTTCAAGGCCAGGTTGGATGGGAGCCTGGGCAGCCTGGTCTGGTGTTTGTTTTAACAGTTGGCAACCCTGCCCATGGCAGCAGGTTGGAACTGGATGGTCTTTGAGGTCCCTTCCACCCCAAGCCATTCTGTAATTCTACGTGGATGTTCCACAGGGAACTTTTGCCTTGATGAAAACACAACTTATTGTCTTCTTTCTCAGTGTGCTTTTTCTTGCATGTGATGGTTGCAACAAGGGATGGTGCAAACTGGGAGTGCTCATGAGAACAGGTTGTGTTGCACAGCTAAGCATTTAAAAAAGAGGCAGGAGCATAACAGGGACTAGATTTCTGTCTCAGGGAGATGAGGAAGATGGATGGATTAGGTGATGTTAGTGGTCTTTTCCAGCCTTGATGATTCGATGATTCTATGACTCTACTATGCTTAGCTCAGAAAGGGAGTGCACTGATTTTGCAAGTAGTTGTGGACCATGTGGTAGGAATAGAAAAGGGCAGGGGTCTTGGATCTTAGTTTGGAAGGTGCTTGTATAGAGAAGAGAGGCTGAATATGGGCCAGAGTTCTGGTTTAGGAAAGTGAAAAGTTTGGTAGAAACTGGTTTGCTGGGCCAGAAAACATGAGTACCCTTGCCAGTGCCTCTAGCAAGAAGGGGGTGCAAATGAGCACAGCTCAGAAAAACTCCACTAACAAGTGTTTTGTGCCCATCAAAAAACATATTTTTTTGAGACAAACATGTTTAAAACTTTTTTGTTTAGAGGACAAACAATCACTGTTCCTCTGCTAATAGCTTTACCTGATGAAGCCAAACTTTTTGCTATGACTATCACCTCACTGCAGTCTCCCTTTTAATTTGCTTTTTTTTTTTTTCTCTCCCACATTCACAATTTTACTCCTCTATCATGTGCACAGTTGACGCTTATCAGCCATGCAAATTCACAGATACTAAACAAGCTACAGGAGGGCTCTGATATTGTTCCCTCAATTCAAGATAAACCTATTGAGAATTAAGGGAAAAATTATTAATGAAAACTGAATGAGAAGGCTATAAAGTTCAAACAAAGTGTGTTCCCTACCTCACAGGATTTGGATGCATGCAAAATTTCATGAAAATTACTTACAAAATGGAATATTATTTCACATCTTCGGGCAAAAGCGTTGTTGAAATATTTTCATTCCGTGCAAAATACATTGGATGATAATGGTATTTAGCAAGGAGATAAAGAATATGATGAGTTTATTGAGAAAAAAAGAAAAAAAGAAAAAAAAGTGACCTTCTCTCCAGGGTTTAACTTGCTACTTTTAAGAATATAAAGCAAAGCCTCTACCTCCTGGGCTAGAAAATGCCATCTCCAATTGAGATGAAGATCAGATCATGTAGATTAATACCATGGAAATGAACCTTGGTTTTGTGTGATGAAAACAGGCTATGGGGAGGGAGAATGTATCTGTGACAGTCTCCAGCAACAGGGTACGTATTCAGCAATTTGAGTTTTTAGGATAAAGCTTAAGATCTTACCTCTCCACTGCAAAGGGAGTATTGCCGTCATGAGTGGCAGCAGGAGCTTGGAGAACAGAAGTGAAGTCACAATGTGCAGTAGACCAATCTTTCTTTTAACCTGATCTTGATTTCAGTATCATCTCAAGGTGAATTCTGTGGATTGCCCATAAAGCAGAGCCTTGACCTAAGAGGAGCCCTGCAGAGGAAGTGGACACTGGAAGCTCAAGGGGAAGGTAATGGAAAACCCTTAAATCCCTTTTTGTCCACTGGCAGAACCAGTAGGACTAACAGAGCCAAACCTGTGGGTCTTTAGGACTTGCTGGGGCGGATTCAGAGTTGTTCAGTAAGACTTTCCCCAACAAACAACAGCAAATTGAAAAACTAAAGAGACTCAGGTTCCTTTGCAATTCTCTCATATATTATTATTTTGTCATAAAGGGTGTATGAGAGAACAAAGCTAAATCATCTCTGCTTTTCAACCTAGATTTACTAGGTTGTGCTTTCACTCTTTATTGAGGGAGCCAAAATAGAAGCACTACTGAATATCAAACAACCGAGGTGACAGGAGGCTGACATCAGCTTCATAGCTGGAAAGCCCATCCTCTATTATAATTTGATCCCGGACAAACCTGTAGCCCATTGGAGTAGAAAACAGAGCAAATACAGCCATACAGTGCTGCAGAATACTGACCCAAAGCTGGCAAACATGAACAGTATTGACCCAAATATGGGGAGAATCAAGTGCTGCCCAGAAAATCAGAGCAAGTGCCGCTACTAATATTGGACTATTGCTAATCTGAACCTTGTCCAGAATATTGAAGAGAGCACAGAGAGTGCTGAAAACCATCTGAAATCCTGGGCGAAATCCAGACAATATTTTTGCAAATTAAAAACTGGCATGTCAGAGAAATTCAGAAACTACAAAGGCACAGGAAGCCTGATGCTCCGTGCAGCCTGCTGACTAAAACTTGCTGCTCAGGGTTCCTAGAGAGCCATTTTAATTGAAAGTGAGAGCGTCTGTTGCAAAAGGTTGGGAAGTCCTGCTCTAATTGACTCTTTCTGGGGTTAACTGTTGCAAAGAATGAGTCAGATCCCAGCTCCGCCGCGAGCACCGGGAGCCGGTCCTCCCCCATCATTAATTACTTTGGTTGCGTTTCTTCATCAGCGCCGCTTGGATCTATCGACGAGATCCCTGGCGCCTCGCCAGCACCACCACTCTGACGAGATAAAACACTCCGTGCGGGGAAGGGGAGGGCTAGCCTTGCTTGTTATTGCTTCTCTCTTTGATGCTGAATTGGTTGGTTCTCCCACACGGACCTTTCTGTACGGCTTCTTCCTTTAACGGAGCCGCAGGGTTTTGTCATTGTCGCTTTTGTTTGGGTGTTTTTTTGTAATCGACCTTCCAGCATTTTTGAGGTTTGTAATCTAAAGGAACACATTCCTACAATTGGTGTGGCTTGGATGCTTCTTCCCAACGTGTCAGCTAATTGCATACCTTCATGTAGTTGTGAATTAAGGCAAAGGTGGGGACAAAGAACCCCTTGAGACTTCTATGTGCTAAATGGCTTTCAGTTATGGCTAAGTTGCAGTAATATCTTTAAGTTGTGCCAGGGGAGGTTCAGGTTGAATATTAGGAAAAATTTCTTCTCCAAAAGAGTGGTCGAGCACTGGAACAGACTGCCCAGGGAGGTGGTAGAGTCCTGGAGGTGTTCAGTAAAAGGGTAGATGTAGCACTGAGACCTGGCTTAGTGGCACAGTGGTTGATGGGTTCATGATCTTAGTGGTGTTTCCAACCTTAATGATTCTGATTCTATGAAATCCCAGCTGAATCTGCATACAGTGCTGAATGAGAGTCATCTGCAGGTGGGACTCCACCTGCACCTTTCATGGAAAATGGGTGTCTGCAGAGCCAGACAAGGTGCAGACTTAGGAGCAAGGGCTTGATGAGTCCAGGTTCCAGCAGGGCAGGGTTAAGGAAAAAATTTGTGCCCTGCAATACAGAGCTATTGCATATCACCCTGCCCATGGCTGCTGCCCACATTTTTTCTTCAGCTTCCTCAAACCAGTTTCATATACTTGCCCTAGCACATTTTTCAGCAGGAGGATGATGGTTTTCTCTTTCTCAGAGCAGCTTCCATCTACTCTATGGAACTCCTATGAACACCTCACCGTACATCCAGGAAGTGAAAGGGAATGGGAGAAATGATGTTATATCTTTATGTTGGGCTTCTCTTGTAAGCAAAGTCTCTACACAAAGTTGCTGCTGCATCCATGCTTCTAGGAAGGGAGGTTTCCTGTAGGAATGGTGTTTATGTGAGCTGGACACCTAGGTACTGAACTAGAAAAGCTGCTATATGCGACCATGGGCATGGCTCCTTGCTTGAATCAAGCTGTTCAAGACCACTTCACTGCCATTTGCTTTGTCAGAGGGAGGATAAAAAACAAGCCCCGTTGGTTTCAGCTTTTTGATCTCTTAGATTATGTTGTCTCACTGTGAGACCAGCCAAGGAAGAGAGGCAGAGCAAACCCAGAACAATTACTGCACATTTGCTGTGAAGGTTTACGTGTTTTTTTTCTTGGAACTTTCACTTCCAACTTTAATTAAGTTCTTCCAGAACCAGCAAACACACATGGAATTAGAGAGGTAAAGAATGTGTGTGCATGTAGGTGTGTGCTGGATGGGATTTTTGCAAGTTTCCCTTCATCTAATGAAAATTTCTTGGCTGTCCCCATTGATACAAGCTGTAACTGAGCTTCAGATGGATCAATGCCCTATTATATAGTCCCAACACACTCATGTTAGATAGTGAGAGCTGGTGGGGGTAGCTTTTTTGCTAGTAAGCCTATATCCTGTGCAAAGCATGCACAAAACTGTATTTGCTGAGGTCTCCTGTGGCATAGCTGTATTATTTCTTTAAATATTCTCTTTGGGTCATTGATGGCATCTCTCTTTTGCAATGTGCCTGGAACAGTAGGACCTAATTCACTGCCACATCCCTAACGGTGCTGCTGCTGCTATCACTCCTGCTTGTGAGATATGTTAGTGGAAAGCACCTCTTCCTCAGCAGGATATGCTCAGGTCTCTCCCTATCTCTGCAAAATATTGTGCATTTCACTTGTCTGCACGAGGGTTATTAATGAAGGATGTCATGAGCCCTCAATGAAACAAAGTCTTTGGACATGGAGACCCAGAAAAATGGACACAGTGTACTCGCAAAATGTTCTTAGTAGCACATGTGAATTTCTTTGCACTCAAATTAAGGAGGATTAAAGCAGCTAAACTGTTGTTGCTCAGTTCCCTTGGATCATGTGACAAAGCCTGAATCGCTTTTAGTCACTGGTATAGGCCTAAGTCAGTCCCTTGATCTCCAAATTAATTTTTGAATTGAATGATTGTGTGGGGTTTTTTTGTCCTAATTGAGTCTTCAAGTGAAAAATGCTTAGCAAACAGAAGGAAAACTGAGGACAAAAGACTCTATTATGTAATAAAAAAAAGGGAGAGTTCACCACAACAGTTTGAAATTAGTACTTGGAATTTCTATTAATTTTTTTTTCTCAATAAAATCTCAAACAGTAAACGACACACAGTGTGTTTTGCACAGCTTGGTGTAAAATCATGAAAAAGGGAGAACGTGGAAAATTTGTAGTGGCAGCTCTTGTAATGGGTAACACAAAAGTGTCTGAGTAATTTATTGATCCACTTCTCATTTTCCTTTTATTGATATGGCAGAATCAACAGTTTTCCCAGGAGGAAAAAGGTATTGAGTGACAGCAATGCAAAGCTCAATGGCCGGTCACTTGTTTCTGGAAACCCTGAAACTCCCCGTATGAAAACATGCAGGCTTAGTTCTGGAGGGCCCTTGGGGCACTTTAGGGTTATCTTGTTCCCTAGATGCCAAAAAGTACCTCCATCAGGAAGCTAACAGGCTTTAAAGTTGTACTGAGGGATCTATGCAAAGTCAGGGCCCTTCTGTGCGATGCACTACATGTACTGCATGCTCTGAGATTTGTATTTTTCATACTCAGATGGAGGTTGATGGTGGGAGAATGTGCAGTGGGCTGCTGGGCTAGTGAATGCAGGTACACCAGGGTTTGTGGCTCACAGGAGATGTGGCAGAGATGGGCACATAGCCCCACCTTTAGGGCAATAAAATAACTTAAAAGGAGTTTCTTGACTGACAGAATCAAGAGTTCTTTGGTCTCAATATCGTTGGTTTCTGTCGTCCAGCTAGCAGGTAGCATTGCTCTTCACCCATGAAATCACAGAATCATAGAATAGTTTGTTGGAAGGAACCCTTCAAGGCCATCTGATCCAACCCCCTGCAATGAGCAGGGACATCCACAGCTCCAGCAGGTGCTCAGAGCCCATCCAGCCTGACTTTGGGTGTCTGCAGTGACAGGGCATCCAACATCTCTCTGGCTGTCACTGTATTTATGTTAATTTTACAACTGTTGAGGCACATATGTTTGCTAGCTTTTTAGTTCCTGCAGCCCTGGCAACAGAATATTTTTAAAGCTTTCCTGATTTACAGTCATTCCTTAATTTTATAAAATAGAAACCAAAAAGCAATTAATTTTGTTTTATCACTGGGAGAAGACTCTGTTGAGGTGCAGAGATAACCAGAACAAGACATTTGAGAGCTGCCTTTTGGTACCTTGGCATTTGCTTCTATGAGCTTCTGCCACACTTGGTGGATGTTTCACAGTTTTCTGCTTGAATGGAGGTTGGACAGAAACCACCAAGTATACCAGGCTCTTCCGTGACTCTGCAAGGTTTGGTCCCCTATCTATGATCCACGGAGCTGCTATGTTCCTCTGCAGCATTGCTCATACATTCTGTGGATTCTGCTTATTCAGAGGAGAAAAAAAAAAAAAAAGAAAAATCAATTTTCCTGACACTAAATGTTGATAAACACTAGAAAAGATCTGGCCAAGCATGTCCATGTATGGGTGAAGGGCATTTTCTCCATCTGGACAATACTTGCAAATAAATAACCTTCAGAGAAACCTGCATGGTATCAGGCCCTTGTGTCAATGCTGGCATTGCTTTCTTGCAGGGATCTTGCTCTGTGAAGGTATAGCTTCTGCATGTAAAGAGGGAACATGATGGTCTGGGCTATGGACTCTGAAGGGGGAAACTCTGCTCCTCGCTTGGGCTGCTGCCAGTACACCCCACAGCTCTCCACGTCAGAATCGGTAAATCAACTTTCCTTTGTTTTAGTGATTTTCCTGCATGAGAAGTTTGGAAGTTTAATTCTCATTTTGCCTGAAATAGCAGCACATGAACTGGGGAGGAACATGTCTAGCCCTTCATTAGGGTCCAGACTCTGCCATGTCAGCAGTTGTTTCTTGCCGTCACAGTGTAAAACCCTTTTCCCTTTCACTTCACATTATTTCTTTCCGCAGAATGCTTTCAGTGCAGATAATGCACAGGAAGGTACAATACAGCCAGTTGTCTGAGAAAAGAAGCCCGTTTTCTTCTAGTGGGTGGTAGGTAAGAATTACTAATCCAATCTGCTTGAGTTAACGCAAAACAAGGATTAGGGTAAAGTTCCCGAATATGTTAATCTTCCTTTATAGAAGTAAACTTTAGCACCGCTATCAACCCCATGGTTTATGGTTCATGGGAACAATGAACCAATTAAACTCCAGCGGAACACAAGTTTTCTGATCGTTACCTAATACTTTGAATTCCTTTGATTCTTAATTATTTGCCACTGTGTCAGAGGCACAGGAAATAAAATGATGTTTATTATTCATTAAACTGTTTCTAAACATATCCATAATTAACTGCTTCTTATTGTGGTTGTTCTTTTCATCTGCCCCTCTATGAATGTAGCTATTAAATGACACGTAAGGTCCTGGGTCGCTGATATAATAGTTGGCAGCACAAACTGTCGGCTTTACTGGAATGGTTGTGCCTATTCATAGTTGGATAGTTGTGGAAAAGCATGTGGCCTGTGTGAAGAAAGGAAAGGGTCAGCCAAAGCCTTTCTCTTAGGTATTGGGAAGAAAAAAATGTTTCATTTCATTTGTGTAAATTTTCTGGCTTTACAGAAGCAGGCCCTTTTGAAAAAGCCTTATACACTGCTCTAGCCCCGTTCATTTCCAAAATGTTCTTGCTTGCTGCTGAGCCATATTCATTGCTCTTATCTATAGCAATCCACAACTGGGAAAATGTAACTGTGTGTACTGGGTTTTCTTCTTTGCATCAGATTTCTAACAGGAACGGAGCACAGTGGGGATAATTGGACTTACTGTAAGGGATATAAATGTCAAGGATTTACTTTTAAATGCTTAAGAGTCTTTTCTGCTGTCAATACCTGCATGGGAATCTTGGGCGCATCAGTTAGAGAAAAGTTGTCCTAAAGCAAAGGTTACAACATAGGATTTCAGCAGTTTCCATGCCGATGGGTCAGAAAAGCCATCTTCAATTTAGAACAATAATGCAGGCATTACATGTAGTCAGCATTTTACTTTTTCAATGAGTGAAAAATGCAGCAGGAGTTCAGTTGTGCTTACGGTGTTGGTATGTACCCATGGCTGTAAGAGATTGAGCCCCATTGCAATTAAAAAGGAGCACTATTTTTCAGAGGTTCTGATGAGGTTTTGGAAACCTCAGTGACTATCAAAGATTTCCAACCGTAATGATCCTATGAAAAGACCTCTAAGATCATCTAGTCCAACTATAATTGTGTCTGAAAAAGAAGGGAAGTATTTATCCATCAAGCCTTCTGAAAAAGTAGATTTCTGTGTGCAACTTCATAATCAAAGTTCAGATTCAAGGAGGTTTATAAAAAATAACTTAGAAGGAAGCGTGTCTGATGTAGGACACGATGAATATTCAAATCCAGGCTGCAGTTCACTTTACTAAGTCATGTTTATAATGCTCTTGGTTAGCAGAGTTGACATCTAGGCTATGGAAGAGGGCACATAAGTACGGTGGGCTGAGTTTGGTCACCTGTAGCAGCAGTACGTTGTGCCCATATAATACTTATCTGGTAAAAATTGAGTCCACCATTACACTGCCTTGGTGTGGAGTGGGCTCCCATGCCAGGCACTGAGCTGCCTCTTTCATGCCAGCAGGAAGCTGGGGCCCCTCCAAGGCAGCGTTTGCTTCTCAGTCCTTTTGCTCAGCTCCTTTGATTTCTGCATCTCACCTGAGTGCTGCTTGGTTTAGTTAGAACCAGAGCATGCCCAAGCCTGAAATGCAGCCAGGACATCCTCCCTGCAACGATGGCACTTGTGTGCACCGGAACCACATCCTACCAGCTCCGTGCCAGTGGGAACAGATGGCACTCAGCACTTGGCAGCATTGGGCCCCAGGTCCCAGGGTTTTTTGGTTATTATTTTATTTTTTTGTCTAACCACCAAAAATCTCAGGGAGCGAGGCATGAGTGAAAACAAGGCGCAACGAGACGCACTGCGCGATCCCGACTGCTTTGGTACATTTGCAAAAGTAGCAAGTCCTCTTTGTGAGTTCCCCAGCACATAGCACAAACAGTCCAAGCCTGAGGCTGGGGGACTTTTCAAGCTTGTATCCCTGCTGTGGCATATAACGAACAGACAAAAACCCCTTTCTGCAACCTCCGCTGGCTGCGACATTTGTTGGTGTCTGTGGCTCTGATTTACCCCGCTTTGTGCAACACTGGTACTAATGTAACTGTATTGTGGCAGGAGACTGGAGAGGGCAGCGGATCACTCGCTTGAAAACATGACCTTTTAATTTAAACAAAAGACTTGAAAAAATGAAAGTGGTTCTTAAATGCAGTTTAATCAGTCAGGCGAAAGATGTCTAATGAAGCTGCCAGACAGATTTGTAGCCAGACTGTCACTTTACCCATCATGTTTACAGCCTCCAGTGGTGAGATTAGGACAGGGTGAAGGCTCAGTCTATCCAAATTTCCCTGCTCTGCTCCTCTACCATGTCTGTAAGTTTTGACAATTTGACAAATCATTTTGCTGCATTGTCTCTAGAGCCAGGAGAGCCGAGCGTGGCGTTCCCACCCGTGACCATGGCAGAGCACAGCCTGATGCAGGGATGGGAGACCCAAAAGGATGCTGCGGTGCTGCAAAAACAAGGTAAAGCCTTTCTGCTTTATGTCATTTTATTCCCAAGGGATCTGTGCTAAAGCCCCCACCCCTTCTGTAAGAACAGATAAATCATTTCGGAGCAATTTTTACTATCTTCATTCCCTCTGCTGTGTATTGGAGGACTGTTTCTCACCAGGATCTCTATTTCATAGATTCATATTAGTAAACTCATAGAATCACAGAATGGCTTGGGTTAGAAGGGACCTCAAAGATCGGCTAGTTCCAACCCCTACTTCTTACTTAAAGTTGCTGGGATGATGCAATTATGAATCAGGCTAAGCAGTTGTTGCTATATCAGAAGAAAGCTAAGAACAGACTGGCTTTAGTAAGAAATAAGTTATAATCCATCCCCACAGTTAAAATTCACACATATGTGACTATCGAAGCAGCGATCACGCATTGCTCATGCAGATTTACAGTCAGCTCTTGTTCACATTTTGGGATATACAGTAAGTATTTATTTTTGCAGGGAATATTTGCTACCCAACAAGTTTTAGTGGCTGCAGGTTGTAGGAACCAGCCCCTCTGCTTATCCACAGGCTGAACACAGCTCAGACACATGGCATCTGAGCTCCCTGCATCGCCGCAGCACTGAACTTAGGCTCGAATGGGAGAAATTGCCTCTCTTCAAGATGAGAGGGGATTCATTTTCCATGCTAGCTCTTTCCTGGGGGTCTTTGCCAAGAAGAGAAAAACCACTTGCAGTTTTCTGTCTTTTCACCATTTTTATTTTTTTTTTAAAGAACATCAAAGTTATCACTCCTGCTTTCTCACCATAATCCCGCAAATCCTAATGTATGTCTCCCAGTCCTTTCATACTAAAAGCATGAGTGCATGTGTTCTGCAGCATTTTGGAGGTCGCAGACAGTTTCCTCATTTGCATACGCACTGTGGCACTAAAAGAGCCAAACCAGGAAAAGTAGTTCAAACTCAAACATAGGGTTTGTTTTTTTCTCCTTGAGTACTTCAAAGCCGATTATTATTTTTAAAGTTACTTACGTGACGTGATGTCTAATTCTGCTTCACTGGAACAAGACTGGACAAAAAATGACTTTTATAGGGTTGTTGTTTTTTTTTTCCTTCCTCCCTCTTTCCCCTAACACTTTTTTCAAACTTTCATGCTTAGCAAAAAACTCCCCTGTAATTGTCTTGTCATCATTATAGTTTTTCCCATTCACCGCCGCTTTACATGGAAGCCCCGGGAAAAGAATTCTTAAAAATTAAATTTCATGCTTGCATGTGTTTCTGTGATCTGCAGTGTGTATGATCTCCAAGTGGAAAACTTCTCTAAAAATAAATGGATTACCCTTGCTCCGACGCTGTCTGATGTCTGCGGAGCAGATACCGCCGCTCGCCTGTGATCTCCCACCCACCGCAATCAGGGTGACAGGCGTTGAGGCGAGGGCCGGGCCGTGGCGTGGGGCTGGGGGAGCGGGGCTGGCTACTGCTGGAGGACAAAGGGTTGGCCTTCCCCACACAGCAATGGAAGGAGCCTCGTCGCGTGGTTCGTGGGCAGGGCCGGCTGCTTTCCGCCATCTTGGGGATCGTCTGCCACGCAGTCCACAGTGGGGTTGGGCTGAGCGGCTTTGTTTGGCCAGTTCATTGGAGGTGTTGGTGTGGGGAGCAGCCGTGGCACGGCTTAGGCCGGGTAGCACCCAAGCCCTCAGTTGCAATCAGAGGGCTTCCATGGGGCCAGAGGGCTGGGGCTTCCCCTCAGCCTGCAGGGCAGCCCTTCCTCTGCAACACCCAGCCCTGTGCTGGGCCTGCAGGTGGTATTGCAGCGCAAGAAATAAGTGCCAATAGTGCCCAAGGGATCCACTTTCAAGATTTTCCTTCTTATCTTGCAACCCCATCTTAGAAGCTTTCTTCCCACATGAGCACACCCTTTTAACCTCACTGGAACAGGAGCTGCCAATGCAGTGCAAGGCGTTGTGAACACAGTCCTCTTTCCCAGCTGTCTGGCTGTTTTGTGATAGATTTCCTGCCTCAAAGCTAGAAATGACTTTGTAAGCCCTTGCTCCTGCGATGCCACCCAGCAGCAGCACTGCCAGGCGAGCCACTGGTGCCCGCAGGAAGACGCAGCATGTCCCTCATTGGCATGGCTGCATCAAGTCTTGACCCACATAAGTAACATTCCCTGGAGGGCCACCTTGAAAAGGGATTAGGTAGAAATGGGGAGAAAAATACAGAGCAGCTGATAGCAGTAACACATTCGCGGGAGCAGGAAGGCTGGTCCGGTGACTGAACACCAGACTTGGACTCTGGAGATCAAGGTTTAATCCTCCATTCTTCCAGAGATGTTGGCAAGTCACCTAATCTCTCAGTGCCTCAGTTCCCCATCTGTAAAAGGCAGATAATGGTGGTTCTTTTGTCTGCACTGTCTGCTTAGATTTCTAAGTTT